GGGAGCCCGATGTGGGGCTCGATCCCAGGACCCTGGGATCATGACCTGAGCCGAAGGCAGACGCTTAACCATCTGAGCCACCCAGGCGCCCTCAGTTGTTATTTAATTAATAATGTTTCCCTTCTGTATCTGCTTTTGTTCCCAAGTCAAGGAGACTGAAGAGCCTTCCAAGAGAGAATCTCCACTCATAGAAAAAATAGCTGAGTCTTATGGCAACTCTGACTTTTGCAGAAACACGAAAGATGAGTTAGATCGACTCGTAAAGGGTCATCAAAGGAAGAGCTCAGCCTTTAAGGAGATCACCTATGCCACCACCTTCTGTCATCAACTCAGATGGATTTCCAAGCGTTCATTCAAAAACTTGCTGGGCAATCCCCAGGCCTCTATAGCTCAGGTAACCTGACAGATCCTTCTGATTATGCTGGGACATACTCACGTGGGAACATGAGGTTCTGGTATAATCTATTTTGGTATTATGCTTATCTTCTGCCCAAGCTTCCATTTATTTATCCCCACTCCATCTGGGATGTAAAAACAGCCAACAGAACAAGTGAAACACCATGAAATTTTTACTTATGGAAAACTTTTTTTGGTGTGTGGGGGTTTTTTTTTTTTTTTGACTACTTAATTAAGACTTCTGTTGATTTAGACTAGCTGTAATGGGTAGTCTTTGCTGAAAAATCTTTTCTTCAAAAATTGTGAAATAAAGGAAGTGTTTAGCCACATTTAGGGTTTTCTGGTGGCTGCACACATTCGTTTCCTGACTCATTCAGCAAGTTCTCGTCGACCGTGTGTGGTATTTTGGGAGCTTGTATACAGTGGTGAACAAAATGGGCGAAAATAAAACCCCTGTTCTCAGAGAGCTTGTTTTCCTGTGAGGTGTGACAGATGACAAATTCATACAGTAATGAACTAGATAGCAAGTCATATGGTAAAAGGAGCTATGGAGAAAGTTTAAGCACAGTGGGGGAGAAAGGAAGAGAAGAGAGAAGGAAAGGAGAGTGGGAGAGAGGGAGAGAGCAGAAAGGGGTTGATTGTATTTGAAGTCAGGCGGTCAGGGAAGCCTGCATCTAGATTCACTGAATGCACCTGAAGGTCACAGGGGTCAGCTGCTGTCTCAGGGAAGAGCCTGTGTGCAAGTGCTCTTCCCCATCATTGACCTTCTTCATTTTAGGGTTCTCATCTTAGGAGAGCACTAGGTACCTAAAACAGTTGGCAGTTAACATAACGTAGTAAGCAGGCTTGAATCCTGTTAAATAAGGCTATTCACTGTCAGATTAACTTTCTTTAGATGAAGAGGAAACCGTGTTCTTTTCCTCGTTTGGCTGGCTCTGTTGGTAGTTGTTGATTACTACCCTTTTATTGTTCTGTATTCTCAGGTGCTCTGTCCTACAAAACCCTAGTATTCCCAGTTCATTGGTCCATCCTTTCTAAGGAAATCAGGTTAGCCAGTTATTTTGGGGGTGGTTGATTTTATTTATTATCAGTCATTGAATCTCTGTTGAGTACCAAAAGATGGCATGTTGTTGGCACTAATAAGATACTACTGACTTCTTGGAGCACCTGGGGGGCACAGTCAGTTGAGTGGCTGACTCTTGGTTTCAGCTTGGGTTGTGATCTCACAGTTGGGAGATTGAGCCCTGAGTTAGGCTCACATGTTCAGTGTAGAGTTTGCTTAAGACTCTCTCTCCCTCTGCCCCCCCATCCCGCCCCATGCATGCGTGAGATCTCTCTCTCTCTCAAATAAATAAATCTTAAAAATAAAAGATATGACTGACTTCTTACCACATGCACCAGAATTTTTGTACTTCAGTACTGTTGCCTTTTAAGTATTAGTACCAAGAATCTCTATCCCTCTGTGAGACATATTGCTAATTGCTCCAAACATTTTTGCTACTGTTATTTTGTATTTCTGTCAGAATATGAACACTTCTGTATACTATCAATCAAAGTTAAATTTTTCTTCTTTTAGAGTAGATTTGATATCGTTTGGAAACAAGTCTGATAAATAAGGTCAACCTTGTTTACCCATTGTTTCAATAGTGAGATAATGTAATGGAGTTGATTCTTTAGCATGATTTATACATTATATTTTTTTACTTTGAAAATAATATAAATTTCTCTTTTTTTCTGAAAGTGGTTTATAAGTGTCTTGTCCAAGTCACATATATAGTAGTTCTGGGCAGGATGTGATTAGAATGTGGAGTTCTTTCTTCTTTTTTTTTTAAGTTTTTATTTAAATTCTAGTTAGTTAAGGGCACCTGGGTGGCTCAGTTGGTTAAGCGACTGCCTTTGGCTCAGGTCATGATCCCAGAGTCCCAGGATCGAGTCCCGCATCGGGCTCCCAGCTCAGTGGGGAGTCTGCTTCTCCCTCTGACCTTCTCCCCCTCTCATGCTTGCTCTCTCAAATAAATAAATAAATCTTTAAAAAAAATAAATTCTAGTTAGTTAATATACAGTGTGCAATATAGTGATTCAGCACTTCCATACAACACCCCGTGCTCATCGCAAGTGCCCTCCTTCATCCCCATCACCTGTTTCACCCATTCCCCACTCATCTTCTCTCTGGTAACCATCACTTTGTTCTCTATAGTTAAGAGTCTGTTTCTTGGTTTGCCTCTCTCTTTTTTCCCCTATGATTGTTTTTGTTTCTTAAATTCCACAAAAGAGTGAAATCATATGGTATTTGTCTTTCTCTATTTTATTTCACTTAGCATAATACTCTCTAGCTCCATCTATGTTGTGCAAATGGCAAGATTTCATTCTTTTTTAGGATGAGTAATATTCCATTGTATATATACCACATTTTCTTTATCCATTCATCGTCGATGGACACTTGGGCTCTTTCCATAATTTGGCTATAGTAGATAGTGCTGCTATAAACATAGGGGTGCATGCATCCCTTTGAATTAGTGTTTTTGTATTCTTTGGGTAAATAATAATAATAATGGTGCAGTTGCTGGATCATAAGGTAGTTCTATTTTTAACTTTTTGAGGAACCTCCATAGTGTCTTCCAGAGTGGCTGCACCAGTTTGCATTCCCAGCAACAGTGCAAGAGGCTTCCCCTTTCTAGAATGCGGAGCTATTTCTAATACAACAGCATGATTCTGCACCTTTTGTTGCTCGGCTTCCTTCAGGTGCAGACCCAGGCCTAGTGCCTCCAGGCTGCATGTTCAACCTGCTTGCCTCCTCAGTGAACTCAGTTCCACAAAAGGAGTCCTCATAATGCTCACATTCATGGCAATGCTGTAGAACAAAGATAGAATATTGCATCTCTCTGAGCATTACCTATTCATATTTGTACATACTGGAATGTTAACTTAGGACAGGAGCAGGCAAACCTCTTTTGTAAAGGGCTAGATAGTGTATACTTCCGGCCTTGCGGGCCATGTGGTCTTTGTCTCGGGTACTCTGAGACAACTCTGCCATTTTAGCAAGGAAGGAGCCATAGATAATACATAAACAAATGAACATAGCTATGTTCCAATAAAACTTTACCGAGGGACACAAATTAGAATTTCATTTAAATTTCATGTGGCAAGAAATAGTCTTCTTCTGTCACTCTTTTTTCCCCCAACCATTAAAAAGGTAGTAAAACCTGTTCTTAGCTAGAGGGCTAAACAGAAATAGGCAACAAGTGATGTTTGGCCTGTGGACCCTAGCTGGCTGACCTTCGGTTTAGTATTTTCAATCTTGTATGTATGTTGTTTACTTCTTTAAGTGTTTGACTGTGAGGCTATTAAACTGCTTTACGGCTTCCTGCTGATAAGTCTCGTATTGGTAATATTATAGCCATACTTAGATTTCAACTAGTCATTTATGTGATTCAGACTTTGCTTCCGAGAATGCCATTTAACCAAAGGTTGTATTTGGATGATCTTGGAGTAAATGGATCATCTGTATAAAAGGATTTAATGTCCATTTAATGTGCCATGGGTTTTTCTGATCAAATCTATTTGGAAAACACTGTTATAACTCTTAGAGATTAATTTTTCCATTGGCATATTTAACATTTGACTAAGGATTAGTTTTTTGAGTGATGGCCATAATTATCCCTCAGAACTCACCTTGAGATAATATTGCTAAACACATTTGAACATGACAGAATAACATATTTAGGGAATTTTTTTCCCCTTCTGTTCAGAGACCAGGTGTAGAGAACTCACAGATAGTGTCTTTGTGCATTCTGTTGAGCAGTGTTTAGCTTGCTTGTTTTTTTTCTTTTCTGTAATGCAAGAAAGAATAACCTAGATGCCCCTTGTGAAAGCATGACAAAATTATGAGATTAGTCATTTTGCCAGTATGTTTGAAAGCTGACTTGAACATTCTTTTAGAACTTTGAAACCTTTAGTAAACATCCTAATGATAAGTCTGACAGTCCAGTCTGTTACTATAGGATATCAAATATTTGAATACTAAAGAAACAAGCATGTAGATTGTCCAGTTTAAAAAGTCTGAACATTCCGGGGCGCCTGCGTGGCTCAGTCATTAAGCGTCTGCCTTCAGCTCAGGTCATGATCTTTGGGTCCTTGGATCGAGCCCTGCATCGGGCTCCCTGCTCAGTGGGAAGCCTGTTTCTCCCTCTCCTGCTCCCCCTGCTTGTGTTTCCTCTCTCACTGTGTCTCTCTCTGTCAAATAAACAAATAAAATCTTTAAAATAAAATAAAATAAAAAGTCTGAACATTCCTAAAGTTCTATTGTCTGAAAGTAGACTTGTATATATACACATGCACACGTGGTAATGGAGTCATTGTTTATTTTGGAAGTTTGAACTGTTGGCATGACATGCAGTATATTCTGAGGGTAATGAAAATTATACCAAGGTAATAGATTTTTTCCCAAATTTCTGACTGTCTTATTAGCACAGGAATTCTGAAGACATCTCAGATCATACTTTTTTCCAGACTGTGGTCTTCACAAACTAGCCTTCACAGATCATGATCCTCTTTTCCAGTTTGGTTTGCTTCATGCCAAAATAGGCTTGTTAAAATTTCAAGTCTTAATACCATTACACTGTTGTAGTACTGAGATTATTTATTTTTTTTTTTAACTTTGAAGGTTCCGAGGTACATGGTGGGGTATTTTGTTTTCTTTAGATAACCATTCCTTCTATTTTTATATTCAATGCAATATAAAAGTACAATAAGTAGGATTTTCTTTTTTAAAGATTTTATTTATTTGACAGAGAGAGAGAGACAGCGAGAGAAGGAACACAAGCAGGGGAAGTGGGAGAGGGAGAAGCAGGCTTTCTGCTGAACAGGGAGCCTGATGCGGGGCTCGATCCCAGGACCCTGGGACCATGACCTGAGCCGAAGGCAGACACTTAATGACTGAGCGACCCAGGTGCCCCAATAAATAGAATTTTCTTAAATAAATTATATCACAGTATAACCCTTAATCCTTTGCTTGGAAGTGTCCTTAAGAGACAATTTTATCAATCTTAGAAACAAAAGTGATGTTTATGTAGTCTTCTTAGGAGTCCCCAAACAGATGGAGTAAGCAGATGTAGGTAAGTAAGAGTGGCAAAGAATTGGCAGCTTAGTTGTACACTGTTGGCTGTAGGCCCTTGGACGGAGGTTGCTAGAGAAGCTGTGACAAGAGAATGGGTAGTGGAAGCATTTGAGTACCTTCAGAAAGAGCTGGTTGAATGCTTTGGTGGCAGTGACCTTGCGCTTTTCCAGTGCAGGCATGCCCTGCCCCCTGGGTCAGGTCGGCGGTCAGCTTACCCCTGCTTCCTCATCACGCAGAATAACATTGTTAGAATTTTTTTATGTGTGTTTGAAAATTTTTATTTATTTATAATGGTAAGAGTAAAGGTATCCTGTTTTTATTTGAACCCCTTGAAATATAAAACTGCATGTTCACTAGCACAAAAGGTTGAGAGTTCAGGTCAGAACTCTTATCCATTTGGACTTTATTCCTCAAATGACCTAGCCAGGAGCTTGCATTGTTACCCTACTGTATATGGCCCTCCCAGGCCTAGTGGCCTGAATTGGACCTTGAACTGGCCTGGTGAATCACTGGGAGGAACCTTAGCATTCCAGGGGTCTGCTGTGTTCTATCAGCCTCCCCAACACACAAATCAATTATTTTTTACTTTAGAAAGCAGTCTAATAACATACACTGTTTTATATTCACTCAAGGACTTTGTCTGAACCACTTGAAGTATCTATCTCAATGGAGAAATTTGATTATGTAGCCTTATGTCTTATAATAATAAATGGTGTGTTAAGTTTTAACACTTGTTTTTCTTTTTCTTTTTGAAAAGATAATTGTAACAGTCATCCTGGGATTGGTTATTGGCGCTATTTTCTATGATCTAAAAAATGATCCTACAGGAATCCAGAATAGGTAAGTAAATTTGGATCTTGGTTTTGAGAAAGTGCTGTTACATCTTTCTAGCTAATGAAAACCCATGAAGAATTTGAATTTGAGACAAGTACAGGGTAAACTGAGGAGTAGGATAAGTCAGTGAACTGCAAGCCGAATGCGTGTATGTGTGTGTGTGTGTGGTGGTAATTTATACAGATTATACAGGTAATTCATTTTTACCTTCTTAACCAGTTTTAAGCGTACAGTTCAGTGACATTAAATACATTCACATTTTTTTTAAAGATTTTATTTATTTATTTAGAGAGAGAGCGCATGCGAACGGGGGGAGGGGGAGAGGGAGAGAGAGAATTTCAAGCGACTCTGTGCTGAGTGCAGAGCCTCACTTGGAGCTTGATCTCATGATCCTGAGATCATGACCTGAGCCAAAATCAAGAGTCAGATATTTAACTGACTGAGCCACCCAGGCTCCCCAATACGTTCACATTATTGTGCAACTATCACAACCATCCAACTCCAGAACTCTTCATCTTCCTAAACTGTGTCTCTGTACCTATTGAACAATAATTCCTCATTCTCGCTTTCTTTAGTGCCTGGAAGCCACCATTATACTTACTGTCTCTGAATTTGACTACTCAAGGTACTCATATAAGTGGAATCATACAGTATTTGTCCATTGGTGACTGGCTTATTTTCCTTAGCATGGTATCTTCAAGGTTCATCCGTGTTGTAGCATATGTCAGGATTTCTTTTCTTTTAAAGGCTGAATAATATTCCATTGCATGGATATACCATATTTTGTTTATGCATTTCTCTGTCCTTGGACACTTGGGTTATTTCTACCTTTTGGCTGTTGTGAATGTTGGGGAGGAAGAATTTCCTCTGTCATTCAAAGTCCTTCTAGTAGGACTGAGAATCACATTGACATGAGACAGATTAACAGGAAAAAACCAAATTTAATAGCATGTATAGAGGGAATCCACACAGACATGCAAATTCCAAAAGCAGTGAGACAACATGATGCTTATATGAGCTAAGGAGAAGGCTGGGTAGGGTAAGGGGAGAAAGACTTTAGCAGGGAGGTGGGAGATGATGTTTGGAAAACAAAGGTTGCCCCCTTATGCAAATAAGTTTCTTAGGCAAAGAGGCATCTTTTTTTTTTTTTTTT